ACTGCGTATACTGCTGGAAGAGTGGTCCATCTCGCCGAGGAGGGTTAAGTGGGAATCGAGTTCAAATTTAATGAGAATTTCTTGATCGTCTTCAATCCGCTGCCGAGGGATGATTACGCTCTCTTTCACCACAACTTCCTGTAAATCCTCCAATGGTTCAACGTCAACGCGATGGAGTGGGAAATGTGGACACCATCGAATATAGCGATGGCCTCTTTTTTGGAGGAAAATCCCGATGGATTTTTTATCATCTTGGCAATGCAGCGATGCAAAGAATATGTCTTCCCCGATATTATGAAGACAATGAAGAGGAAAATGGATATGCAGACCATTATTCCCAAATGAAAATGATGATTTATTGCCAAGGCCGTCGGATTTAGACATGCCAACTTTGCCAGACCACGCAAACTCGGAGGGGGAGCTCGCAAACAGTCCTCTGTCCTGATGAGAACCATTCAATGCAACCCAAGCAAAGATACTACGATCATCTGAGTACTTGATAATCTCGTGTTGCAATCGTATAAAAGCCTTTTCGCCACCTTCCCCGTAGATAGGTGGCAAGTTTACACCAAAAAGCCCCATAAGGCAATACGCCATGTCTTCTGGTCTTGTCGTTTCCCGAGATGCAGCCCAAGACATTTTCTGCGCAATACTGTAGCGTTCAAGCAGACCGAGCTCGAAAATGTCAACCGGAATGGAAGTTACTTCAGACACAACATGCCGCATGCTGTATCGGGTACCGATCATATTCCAATCCTGGTCCAAAAAGACCATGGAACGAGGTGCAATCAGCTCTTGAAGTGTCCAGCCCCTTGTAAACCATCGACTCTTCTTCAATCCCTCCAAGTCCTTTACATTCCTCTTAACCGAAACATCGCTCAAGTATGCAATGCAAAAATGACTGTCTCCATAGTACTTGTACATCGAGTTGAGCGCTTCGGAAAGCTCAGCGCTACTGGACTTGTCGATGCAACACGTATCGATCCAGATCCAATCAAATCTGTATTGCCGAACATAGGCGCAAGCTTTCTCGACCTTGGACCAGCCTGCTTTCTGCTTAGCC